ATTAAAACAAATTATTGAAATAATTAAAATCTCCCAAGTTCTTAATATTATTAATGTTACAGATAATATATTATATAATGATATATTTGTATTATTATTTTTATTATTACAAATATTGAAAACAATTAATTAGCTGAAAACAATAAAAACAAATTATTAAAATAAATAGCAATTTTATTATTAATATTATTAATGATATAGATATTACATAAAGCAATACTGCTATTTTTTAATTATTATTAATATTATAAATGTAATAACATTAGAAAGCAGTAAGAATTAAACAATTAAAACAAATTATTGAAATAATTAAAATCTCCCAAGTTCTTAATATTCTTAATGTTACAGATAATATATAATATAATGATATATTTGTATTATTAAAAACATTGAAAACAATTAATTAGCTGAAAACAATAAAAACAAATTATTAAAATAAATAGCAATTTTATTATTAATATTATTAATGATATAGATATTACATAATGCAATAATACTATTTTTTTAACTATTTTTTTATTATTATTAATATTATAAATGTAATAACATTAGAAAGCATTAAGAATTAAACAACTAAAACAAATGATTGAAATAATTAAAACCTCCCGAGTTCTGACTGTTACAGATACGCTGGTGCTTGTGTGTTTAGGTGTGTTTATGTCTATGTGAGCGTCTGACCTGCAGAGCCCTGAGCTCCTCCAGAGCCTCGCACACCTTCAGCGACAGCTGCTTCCACGCCTGCGTTCAACACATCCACAAGACAAGACGCATACTGTCAAACTCATCAAAACCGGAGTAAGCGTGGCTTATGAGAAACATCTATCATGCAATTTCACTTCATGCTAAATATGATGAGCATTGCTTTGTTTCCGCACAGAACGCCGAATGTCGATTATAACTCTTTCATGCTTTTAAATAGAGTTTAATCTGTTTAAACAGACATGCAATTAACATTTCAGCTGCTGGAGCCGCCAGATAAGATACAGCAAAAATAACAAATCCAGTGGAGCTTATGAGGTTATGACTTTTCGTTTCTCACCGGTAATTGCCTCACAATCACGTTCTCCAGCCCCGACAGAATCTGCAAAGCCGTGGCGAAGTTTCTCGTCTCGTAGCAGAACTTGCCAACGGCTAGAAAGCGAGCGAGTAAAGCTGCCTGTGCCTAAAAATACAACACGAACACAGCGAGATATTCAAATACACACCACGTCAGGAAAAGTATAAATATATATAGTGTGTATTATGTGCATATCAGAGAATTAAGGATGGAAATGTTCCTAATTGGCATGAAATTAACGCTACAATGCAAAAAAATGCATTCTATTAATGGTCCTAAAAATATGCATCATATAATTTCTTTGTTTTTTTCCCCGAGACATATTCTTGCAAGGTTTTTGTTCACATTATGGAAGTTAAATATGTTGTGGCTTCAAAACTATTTTATTTTAGTTGTTATTTTAGTAGCACTGATATACTATTACTATTGTAGTTTTTGTTAATATTATATTTTCTGTTTGCATTTTAATTTTACTTAACGTTTTAGTAATCTTGTTGTGTTTTTGTTTGTATTTCTTTGTTGTTTTTTGTAATATGTTTTTAATGTGTATTAGTTAATTCAAACTAATTATTAAAGTAATTAAAACAAATAGCTGTGAAGCAGTTTTTTATTATTAATGTTATAGATAGATTAATATAATACAATAATATAACATTATTATTATTATTAATATAATAATATTCAAAATTAAGAATTTGTTTAAAACAATTAAAACAAATTATTCTTTTTTTATATTATTATTAATATTCTGCTACACGATGATGATGATGATGATGATGATAATACTAATAATAACAATTAAGAATTCATAATAATTAAAACTATTATTAAAGTAATTAAAACAAATAGCTTTGAAGCAGTTTTTTATTATTAATATTATTAATGTTAAAGATAGATTAATATAATACAATAATATAACATTATTATTAATATAATATTCAAAATTAAGAATTTGTTTAAAACAATTAAAACATTTTTTTAAATTATTAATATTATGTTACACGACGATGATGATGATAATACTAAGATAAAAAATTAAGAATTCATAATAATTACAACTATTATTAAAGTTATTAAAACAAATAGCAGTTTTTTACTAATATGATTAATGTTATAGATATTAAATAATTTATAATGATTTTGTTGTCATAACCCAGTATGACTGATAACATTTATAAAATAAGTAAATATTCAGTAAACTCTGAGGAATCACCTTAACCGAGTCGCAGACGACGAGTTCAGCAGAAACCCAGTTAGCCACACAGTCTGCGTGTGTGAGGAGCCTCTGCAGCGGGCCCCGGGGCCCCGACACGTCCCTGACCAACACACAGCAACATTTATCACACACACTCAACATATTCGGGAAGATATGAGATATAAATATATGCACATGCACTTTTTTCTAAAATCACGATTTTAGGTGAGAATGATTTTTATGCATGTAAAATATGCTGTGTTCTGTGCACAAGAAAGCTTAAACACGTTTGAGATTTAATATAGAAGGTCACTGCTTTAATTGAGTTTGGGACAGTGGAAAGTCACCTGGAAATGTTTCCAGAGTTTTCCGTCACTCCGTGAGCTCTCGAGTTCAGAAAGTGAACCGGATGACAGTCGTGAAATATTTCCTGCATAAATATCAGACGATGAGACATGAATATGCATGATACAGTGATTCTGTCCTCATGTAAAGTCTGTGTTTAAGATCAAGGATCAAGACCAGCATGAAAATAAGATGAGCGTGTGTCTCCACCTAGAGTTGGATCGGGAAATGACAGCGTGAGAACAGAGCGTGATAATGTCAAAATAAAATAATGTAAGAAAGCATGATAACGAAAATTGGAAATTAAGGACATTCATGTATTTTGAGTTACAATAGCTTTTAAAACGTTTGGAATAATTTTCAAAGAAGTGTCTTGTGCTCGTCAAGGCTGCATTTATTTGATCAAATATGCATTAAAAAATTTGAAATATTATTACAATTTAAAACAGCTGTTCTCTATGTGAATATCTGCTAAACTGTAATTTATTTCTGTGATCAAAAGCTGAATTTAGTTCAGTCTTCAGTGTCACATGATCTTCAGAAATCATTCTAATATGCTGATTTGCTGCTCGAGAAACATTTCTGATTATTATCAATGTTGAAAACAGTCGTGCTGCACAATATTTTTGTGGAAACCGTGATGCATTTTATTTTTCAGGATTCACAGATGAACAGAAAGTTCAAAAGAACAGCTTTAATTGAAAACAGAACATCATAAATGCCTTTACTGTCACTTTTGATCAATTTAATGCATCTCTGCAGAATAAAAGCACAGTGTTTGACCATTTCCACAGAAACATTGGGCAGCACAAGTGTGATAATAATCAGAAATGTTTCTTGAGCAGCAAATCAGCATATTAGAATGATTTCTGAAGAATCATGTGACACTGAAGACTGGAGTAATGATGCTGAAAATACAGCTTTGATCACAGAAATAAATTACAGTTTAACAGATATTCACATAGAAAACAGCTGTGTTAAATTGTAATAATATTTCAAATTTTTTAATGCATATTTGATCAAATAAATGCAGCCCTGGTGAGCAGAAGAGACTTCTTTCAACATCATAATTATTCCAAACGTTTCCATATGTTTTGCATGCGCTGTATATTTCACAAATGATTTCTGTGTTTTATTGATCACCTGCTCCAGTAAAGTGAGCTGCTGTGTGATGTGCAGCGGCGTGTGTTCGCTCTGACTGAAGGGACGTCTCTCCTCTGATCTCAGACTGCTGCTGCTCATCAGAGAGGCGTAACACGGCCGTGGAAGAGCCGCGGCGATGGAGAACCCTTTCTCTTTACTCTGGACCGTCTGAGGCTCCAACACACGCAGCACGCGCCACTGCACACGCGTGAACACATCACGATCACATGACGAACACCACACACTAGCAGTCAGGTGTTTAACTTCTGCTGAAATGCTTCAAATTCATGTTTCTTGTGTTTGATTTTTTTCTTAAGGCAAGGAACTACAGGTAAATCCGTATTTTTTTCATGCACTGGTCAATTTTGAGATTTTTTGGGCTTCTTCTTTCAGACTAGTGGAAAGAAAACATCCGAAATACAAAGTTAAGTGTTTATTTTATTATGCTGTAGATTTTCCACTTCAGTAACACTTGCATACACCAAACTTTACAGTTTTATTCCTATCTAGGTTTTTATATTGTCAATATATAATTTGCTTGATTTATATTTAACATTTTATTCCTAAAAACATAGCGAAAATTTTTTTTTTACTGTCTGTTGACAGTATTTTTGGATTTATGGAGTTATAAAAAGAGAAATCTAAATTCCCGTCTGTAAAAAGCTTTAACTCTAATATGTCAACAAAATCAAACAAGAATTTATCCAATGTTCAGATTTCTGTTCTGGAAATAAATGCAAATTAGTGCATATTCAATAATATAATGCCTTAAATGCATTTTTAAAAACTTTTTAAAGTTTAATAACAATAAAAAAATAAAATAAAAAAAAAGTAAAAATAAAAAATGAGTAAATAAATAAAATACAATAAAAATAAAACAATGAATAAATACATATGTAAATAAAAAATAAAAAAATAAAATAAACAAATTAATTAAATTAAATTAAATTAAATTAAATTAAATTAAATTAAATTAAATTATATTATCACAAGAAGAAACCAAGAGCAAGAGCAGGTTACACAGTATTATTTTCCTCAACCGTACACTGTGTTCCTAATCACTACAACCCTACAACCCTTCTTAATTAGGTACCTAATGTCCATCTTTTTAAACAAATGTCCATTTTTATTTGTAACCACACTGTCCGTCATTCTTTCCAGATTTGTTTCAGTTCCTGAGTCCACTGGTTGGTCGTGTTTCCAATGGACTGTTATCAATTCAGGGATGTAACGATTAACTCAACTCACGATTCGATTCGATTCGATTCTCGATTTTTTTTTTTTTACAAAAAGAAAAAATACCATCGAAAGACAGTCAGTTTCCCTCAGACATACATTCATATAAACTCCTACCCCTAACTGAATCATGATTTGTTTAGCATCTCAACCGATTTGAATCGTCACATATTTGAATCGATTTTCAACCGGCTCGCGGTTAATCGTTACATCCCTAGTTATCATTGTCTTTTAAATGCAAATTTAACCTTAACATTTCAGAAAACTGGTAATAAAGAAACTATTTGTCAACTGGTAATGCAAGTATTGTGATTTCTATTATTAATATGTCTACAATATCCACCTGTAGTGTCTTGGTTAAAATGACTTTCACAGACCTTTCGAGCAGCGTCTTCGATGGATGATCTCCTGCATGAGGAGTTCACTGAGAGCTTCTCCTCGATGGAGGTGTCAAACACACACGACGGGACACAGACACGCCTCTTCCTGGGCGAGGACTGGAGCGTCGCCAGCAAACCCGCTCCTCGACTGTCAACCGGTGCGACCTGAAGACACAGCGTAACGCGGTTATTTCACACGCATTCAAGCCTTCTGTCTAAACCAGCAGTTTAAGAGTTAAACTCTGAAGGCGGTGACCTCTGCGGTCAGGAAAGTGTGCAGCGTCTGCAGGAGGCTGGAGCTCGAGCTGAAGTCCACTAGCTGTGCGTCTTCAATCCAGAAGTGTAACAGATCCAGAGTGCGCTGATAGACTTTGGCTCTGTCTGATGAGGGATCTTCATTTGCTCTGCAGTTTCACAGTTAATGAAGAATATAATTACATTTCATCTCATTTCACTTCTTGGAAATTATTATTTAATCAGTGATTGACTCTTATCTTAATTATGTGAGCTTGACAAAATCACTGTCTGTCTGTCTGTCTGTCTGTCTGTCTGTCTCTATCTATCTATCTATCTATCTATCTATCTGTCTGTCTGTCTGTCTGTCTATCTGTCTGTCTGTCTGTCTCTCTGTCTGTCTATCTGTCTGTCTGTCTGTCTCTCTGTCTGTCTATCTGTCTGTCTGTCTGTCTCTCTGTCTGTCTATCTGTCTGTCTGTCTGTCTCTCTGTCTGTCTATCTGTCTGTCTGTCTGTCTCTCTGTCTGTCTATCTGTCTGTCTGTCTGTCTCTCTGTCTGTCTATCTGTCTGTCTGTCTGTCTCTCTGTCTGTCTATCTGTCTGTCTGTCTGTCTCTCTGTCTGTCTATCTGTCTGTCTGTCTGTCTCTCTGTCTGTCTATCTGTCTGTCTGTCTGTCTCTCTGTCTGTCTATCTGTCTGTCTGTCTGTCTCTCTGTCTGTCTATCTGTCTGTCTGTCTGTCTCTCTGTCTGTCTATCTGTCTGTCTGTCTGTCTCTCTGTCTGTCTATCTGTCTGTCTGTCTGTCTCTCTGTCTGTCTATCTGTCTGTCTGTCTGTCTCTCTGTCTGTCTATCTGTCTGTCTGTCTGTCTCTCTGTCTGTCTATCTGTCTGTCTGTCTGTCTCTCTGTCTGTCTATCTGTCTGTCTGTCTCTATTTGTCTGTCCATCTATCTATCTATCTGTATAACATTCAGTCTAACTGTCAAACTATTTTTTAAGCCAACAGCAAAGTTTTTCTTGACCAGTGTAACTTTTCTAGTTTAATCTGTCACAGTGCTCAGATTTATTTCATTCGTACCCCATTGTACTGTTAAATTTGTCCATTAGAAACCACAGAAGCTCCTCCGAGGTGCAGAAGTAGCGATACGTGTAGAAAAACTGCTGAACAAATCCCTCGGCGTGAGCGTTCCTATCAGCGTCAGAACAGACGTGTGTGACGAGGGTTACAGTACCGGCAGCTACAGTCATTCCCGTGCATTCATACACACTCAGTACCTGGCGTACAGATAGGCCATGAGGCCTCTGGCGGTGGCGGTCACTAGCGGGCAGCCTTTGCCCCGGCGCTGCTCACACAGAAAGTGCAGAAGCGCAGGATCGTCCGAATGCTGCAGCTCCAGAGGCGCAGCTCCACACGCAGCCAGAGAGGGCAGCAGAGAGAGCGCTAAACCCCACTGATCCACAGACAGCACCTACAACACATCACAAAACACCTGCGTTACGCATTAAACCATACAACACTGGTGTTCAAACTGGGAAAATCACCACGCATGCCCTCAAATGACTTATTGCTTACCTGTATATAAAACGCTTGAGGCAACAACAATAAGACAAAGACACTAATAAGTAATAATTCATTTGATCAATAACTAATAACACATTTTACATGTATTTACTTTTATTTTAAGTGGCTTACAGCGTATTTAAGGTGCACAGTTTTGAAAATCAATCCCATGACCTTGGAGATTTTAGAAACTTCTAAATACTGGATAAATACTAAGAGCTATGAAGTGAAATCTGATTGGATAAGCCAACTTCAAAGCCAGGGTAGAATAGAATAGTTTAATTGTTGAAATAACTGTTTATTGCAATTATTCTGTTGTTGTTGTTGTTGTTGTTATAATTAAAAGATTATTGTTATTTTGTTATTTATAATAAATTAGACAGATCATTATTATTATTATTATTATTATTATTATCAAATTTATTATAAATGAATAATAATAATCCATTATTACTACTACTACTAATTATTATTATTAATTTATTGTTATTATTATTTTAACAATTAAATAATTTACAATGGCTTGAATTTGGCTCATCCAAACAGATTTCACTTCACAGTCAGATCTCAAGTTGTTATTATTTAGAAGTACATTAGATTATTATTATTATTATATTAGAAGTTCCTGACAATATCAAGGTCATGGGTTCCCATGCTTCCCAGTGCTCTGATAAATGTAAACCTGAGCACACCGTAAGATGCTTAAGATAAAAGTGTCTTTGCAAAGTAAATAAATGCGAACGTAGAATATGAATGCTTAGAAATGTCTTTAAACCCACAGCAGAGGAAATGCAGCGTGTGCTTTGGCACAAACCTGGAGATATTTCTTGACAGTCTGCAGAAACTCAACTTTGGCTCTGAGCTCGTCAAACTGCTGCTTGACTTTAGACACCATCACCTTCATGTCTGAACCTACAAAGACAGACGAGCAGCTCACACACACACACCTGACGAACGAGGAACAGCTGCACTGCAGAATTAACGCACAGCCGTCAGACTTTCTATTGTAGCAGAAGTACCTTTATTTTTCCTCTCTTGCTCTATCAGCTTGTGGTAGAAAGTTCTGGTCTTTTTTAGATTTCTGCTCTCAATAATCAGCTGTTGGTGCAGCTCCTGTTTAAGAGCAAAGATAAGAAAAGATCAATAAATGGATCTCGATGCCCAGCTGAACTCTGGAAATACATGCAACTAACCATGTGTTGCATTCACAGACAACAGAACGCAGGATTTAACCAGTTTCCCTGCTGACTTCACCATGAATCCACCTGATTAATCATCTAGACCAGCTTAGACAAGTGTTATTTTAGTATTATTGAGATCCCATTATCGTTTTTATTGTTTTTATAAAAAAAAATAAAAAAAAGCTTTTGTTTTTATTTTTTAATTTTATGTTTTAATAGTAATTTTAAAGTTTTATTACATTTGTTTTTGTCATCATTTTTAGCAGTTTATATATATATATATATATATATATATATGTGTGTGTGTGTGTGTGTC